TGTTAGTCTTAAGGTGCCACCAGACTCCTTGTTGTTTTTGTAGATACAGACTAACACGGCTACCACCTGATAGTTGCCTAATTAGTCCTCCTTAGGGCATGTTTACACTTAAAATGCTGCATTGGCACAACTGCACCAATGCAGCTATGCTACTGTAGCACTTTAATGAAGATGCTCTACGCCAACAGGAGAGAGCTGTCCCATCGGCATAGTTAATCCACTTACCAGAGAGGCAGTAGCCAGGTCAATGGGAGAAGCCTTCCTGGTAACATAGCGCTGTCTATGCGGAGGGTTAGATTGGTATAACTACGTTACCTAGGAGTGTGGATTTTTCATACCCCTGAGCGACCTAGTTATACCAATATAGGTCTGCAATGTAGACCAGACTGAAGATAGGTATTTGAAACACTACATGGCCAAAGCTAAATATCAGAATTTGATTTTATTATTTGCTCAGTGTTGATAGAGTGCTAAGTACCAGGAAAGAGACAGTTCCTATTCTGAAAAACTTCCAAACAACTATGATCTATCTTTTTCTGGAGTTTGGTCCACTGTGCCTAATAGCAGCCAAATTCTGATGCAATCCTTGCAGCTAATGACATACTATTCATATTTTTCTTTGAGGAAAGTGATTGGTGGCAAGGTTTGTTAAGCATTACAGATCCATTATACCAGGACACATGCACATACATTGTGATTCCGCATGTTATTTAGGAAACAGTTGTGCACTCTGTCTAGTTGAGGCCTGATGGTCCTATCCTTTAAACTGATGTAAACCAGGAGTAACTTCCCAGAAATCAATGTTATTACACCAGTGTAAGATAGAATCAGGCCTTGTACGTTTAAAGGAAGTTCAATAATGCATATTTTGTATATTTGGTAAAGTGACATTACTTCACAATAATTCAACTGTAATGCACACAAAATTAAGATCCATTACTTTCAAATAGGAGAATGCTATGTGTACAGTAAACTTACTTTGCTTCAACAGACTTGTACGGGGACTTGTTTTCATTAAATCTGGCTTGAATTCAACTTAAAATATTGTTTTCTTTCTTTTTTTGTCTTCCTGTCCGTAACTATTCCTCTGCAGTGTGAAAAAACAGCCTATGTTTGATGTCTTCACCATAGTGGAATGCTTTTAAACTTAATGAAGAGTTGCAATAAATCAGTACATTTCATTCTGCTTTCTATCATCAACACATATATACTTTTTTTGGTATTAATCCCCTCAGAGATTCTTAGAAATTAGTAGGACAAGCTAGAAGTCTTGTTAACTTGTAAAAGGATGGTGCTGGCATCATACCTGATAGTTATCTTGTCTTCATCTGAAATAACATTTTGATATTGCCCAATTATTAATTCTTTGATATTAGCAGTAAAACAGCATAGGATAGATTATGACATTTAGCCCAGCCCTGCTTTGGGATGGTAAAGCCCATGGGACTGCTCACTGTACATAATATTAAGCACGTTCATACATCTTTGCAGGATTGGGGCCTTAGATTGTAAGCTATTTGGGGCAGGGACTATATAAAAATTTGTGCTTTTGTTCAAAACTAGCATAATACATCCTGATTGACGGCTCTGGGTACTACTTTAATATTATACTAATTGTAATCATAAATCTCATTAGAACAGACTTTGTCAAGATTTAATTAGTCCTCAAGATGCTATATCTTAGTTTCAGACAAGTGGAAATACTTTGAGGATAGATTTTTCTCTAGGTATTTTAGTATTTATCCATCTGGTCTCAGTGCACATACAGAACAGGAAATACAGATGGGAGTGAACCAAACCACATGTTTCAACCCCTTGAACCGGAGAAATTTTGGATCCATATTTGAACTTCCCATCAGGATCCGTGCTCTATAATGGGCAAGACAAAAACCCAGGTCTTGTCACTGCTCTCAAACTTTGGGAAAGCTCAGACCCATCTCTACCCGAAAGTGATAAAATACACTAAGAGTTTATAAATAACACACACACTCTCATCTCACTGGCATAATTTGAACCTCATGAAAGGCTTTGGTCAATTTAAGTTTGGATAAAGATTCAAGTGAGCTCTTGTACTATCAGAACCAGTTTGCCTACCCCTCCTTCCAGCGACATAATTATATCTTAGTTTAAATAACTCTAATTAAACAACACTCTTCTGTGACACTGACAGGCATTGGCTTTGGAGGGTCTACTCCTGTGTCTAAATGACAATAATAACCTATTAAGTAAAAGTGAAAACAGTGAAGAATTATCTCATAGACTTCTTGATTTCTCTGTTTTATTATATGCTTTGGTGAAATGGAGACTGCGTATGTGATTTTTAGAAATAAGAGTCTATATTGTAGACATTTGTTATGTGCAGAGCTGGCGCAAGGCATAAGCAGACTAAACAGTTGCTTAGGGCCCTGAGCAGCTCAAGGGGCCCCCTATTAATTATTAGTATGTTTTGTGTGTGCAAAATATTCCTGCTTAGGGCCCCCAATGGACTAATACTGGCACTGGTTATGTGATGTGATGTCTGGCTTCTTGATGGTCTGAAATTGTATTAGAACTCTATTTATTAACCTAGGTTCCACCAGGGTCCAAGATATCAAACCCTGAAGTCATCACATTATTGTCTAGAAAAGCTAATTTAGGTCACATTTAAAGGTGTTTTGTTTTCACTTATCTCTTCCTTTGAGTCCTGGACTCACGGTAACTAAGGTACCTGACTTATAGGTAGAGCAAGACAAGAAATAGCCCCACTAAACATTTTTAAACTAATAATAATAAAACATTCCTAAAATAGTTATCCATCGTATGTTCATTATCTACAAAATGCTTGATGGCATAAACAGAATTAAAATGTTATTGGCACTTTGTTTGGGATGATCTGCATCAGGGCTTGAACTGCGGGGAGAGGGGAACAGGGATATGGTGGTACTCTCACAGACTCTGCCCACAAGTCAAGCTCTACCTACTTGAGTTAACAAAATGACCATGCAGCATAGGTGCTGGAAATAGCGATGCTGGGGGTGCTGCTGCACCCCCTGGCTTGAAGTGGTTTCAATTATATACACGGTTTACAGTTTTGGTTCAATGGCTGTCAGCACCCCCACTATAAAAATTGTTCCAGCACCTCTGCCATGCAGGTGTTAATCAGACAATGTCCACTGGGCTTCTCAGGCTTGGCTTCCCCTAACTTGGATCATATGCACCCTTGGACAGGCCAGATTAAGACATAGCATCGGCCTACATCCTTGTCTCCCAGATTTGTGTGATGATCTCAGGATCTAAATTAATTAAAAAAAATATTTTTAGCCCTCATGATTGTGAAGAAAAGCCTCAAAATGTTACCTGAGTGTAATCAATATATCAATGTCTGTCTGCCTGAGTCTGCTGACAGCTTCCAGCAGAAGGCAGGGAAACAGGACTTGGCCTTATATCCATAACCAGAGCATTTCTCAGGGAAAGGGAGTGCTGGCTTGTTGCATTGCTTGGAGTCCCACTTAGCTCTGTAGCAGTGGCTCTCTCTCAGTGGGATTTGGATGTCCTCCTGATTTCTGTGGAATTGGCTTCTCTTTGGTGAGGCTTAGATACACTGTAGGGCTCTGCTCCACCCATATAACCTTTAGATTCTACAGGTCCTATTGAGGGGAGGGAATCTTCCCCCAAATTGTATCCACTTGTGCCACCAAAATAAGACTGGACTCCCAAGAGACAGATTGATGATCCCAGATCTGCAACTTTCTTATATGCTTTGCAAGCAGTGAAATAGTTTAGCAAATAGTTTAAATGATCATCATAGAGCATCTGAGTTAACACTCCATTGTGATGAAATGAATACTCACTCCCCTCAGAGCTATTGTTTCAGACTCTCTGCAAATGAAGGTATGTGTCACTGCATTGGTTTACACTTGTTTAATATTTTCAAGGTTTTCTTCACAAGCATGGGCTACAGACTTCATTTTTTTTAAATGAAAACTGAGGTTTTGGAGAACAATACAGCAGCCTCAGAAAAGTGCCAAGTTACCAACCCAGCGTGACTTTCTTAGGCCGATTTGAGCCTTTATCTCTATCTTTATCTTGTGGCTTCTGCAGTCATGAGGAATGCAGCCATCCCAAACTCATGCCAATAAAACCTGTACAACTCAAAAATGAAACCTTTTTAAAGCCAGTATTTATTTATTTAGTAGCTGTTGGATCCCAAAGAAATCTTTTAAAAAACTATCAGATTTGTGTTACTGATAGTTATGTTACTTAGCAGCAGATAATACATTATCTTAAAGATGACTGTCAGGAATGCCATCTATGTACAACGGATTGTAATTTAAAGTGCAGAGTACTTGAATATAAAGAAGTACTAGTAAGAAACTTAATTAGAGCTTTGGAACACCCATCGACTAATCAACCCTTTGCACATGTGCAGTGAAATACCTAGGCTAAAAGGTTTCCAATTGTCTCTGCTATTAATGTATGACAGCTATACTTTATGTTTTGCCTTGGGCTAAACTCATTTTATGTTGACTACATCTAAGGCATATAGCCAACTCTTAAGTTCACTTTGGGGTTATGAGGTTTACATTTTATACGTACTAACGTATAGATACAACAGTTAGCTGGATGTTTTATAATTGGAGCCTTACTCTCCTTTTGTGGGCACTGAACCAGATCGGCTCTATTAGTTTATTGCCCAGTACTCTTCACATTGAATTACTTAGGTTGCTTGTTCATAAAAGAAAAAAAGAAAAAGAAAAACAATCTGCTAGCTTTGTGTAAATCCACCATCAATTTATGTTTAAATACAGGGTTTTGCCACTGGTTTGCTTTTTGTTTTTGTGTGAAGATAACTGTGTAACTAATGGCTGGCTCTACTGAACAATTGCATTATTGTTGCACTTAAATTGCTCCTAGAGGCCCATTTTAGTGTGATAAAAATTATAAATGAATAAATTAAACTCTTTCAATATACAGGCATTTTACAACAGCTAATAACTTCAGAATTGATCTCCTTTGCCTATTTTTAAAAATGTGTATATACAGCACACGAGGAACATTCAATAGTTTAATTACTCTTTATTTCTGGTGGGAGATCTCAGATGCACTGGACTAAATTCTGCTATAAATTACCTATGTACCACCAGTAATCCCTGTGAGGGACCCCACTGAGCAGAATTTGGGCCACTGTGGATTTTTTTAAAATGTATTTTAAAATAGAGCCCTATTGAAAAGTTAAAATTTGTTAAGTAATCCTGCAGGGTATTCAGTCCAATTTCAAAGGGCTTTTTTTGAAGGATGCAGATAAGTAACAATATCTTGCAAATTTATTATGTATAGATGCTCTTTTAACCAGGCACAGAACAAGACAGAGCTAGGAAAGAAACTGTCAATTTGTCAAAACCAGCCTTGTTTGAAATATATGCAATACAAACTTCAAGAATTCTTTGTGTTATAGAGGAGAATAAGTGATGAACTGGAAAGGTTAGTTCTTATTGCAGACATCATTTAAACCTATCTTCTTTTTATAGAACCATAGGTGTACCTAGCACTTTTCTAGGCATAAAAAAGGACAAGGTACTTACCCATGTAAGTTTACAATCTATACACTTGTGCTTAAGCACTTTGATGGATTGGGGCCTTAATCAGACCAAACTCACAGTAAAAATGAAATAGAAAATTGTGGATTGGGGAGAGAGCAATAAATGGGAAGTGAACAATGCTCTTGGGGAAGCACCCCCTAATCATATCAGATGACACTGTACAAAACCTATAGAAGACAGGGTTTCTACCCCAAGAAACTTACATGCACAGTTTGAAGACAGTGAACTTGAGATGCATTAGATACCGGATAAGCAGAATATGGATCAAAGCAGTCCAGACATTTCTTTTCCAACAAACTTTTGCAGATTAACAGTGCCAGGCTTCCTAGAAGAAATGTGATTTCGGGTTCCTGGGGTGAATTTAAATAAAGGGATAGGATGATTTTTTCAGTGAAGATGGAAATGGATTGAGTTCCAAGCATAAAGTGAAGTATGAAAGGAGGCATGAAAATGAGAAGGATAAGGATACTATAGGGACCTGCCAGAATGAAGAAAAGGGTAGAAAGGAATCTTTAAAAAAACCACACATTTAATTCCCTTTCAAACCGCAGGATAGAAAAAACATGAGCAGCAGCACTAAGGCTAGGTTCGCCCACTATGGCATTCCCACAAGGGGCTGATCATGGCAGTCTACTGCAAAGAGAGAACAGTCTTTTGGGGGCAAATTGGCAGGGAAAATCAGGACATCTATTAATTTTGCTTCCACCCAAAACCGAGATTTGTTTGGTGACAAAATAAATTTCAGCCACTGCCTCCAGACAGAGACTCAATTTTCAATGAACAGTCATCCGAACAAAACTCTGCTTGCACAAAGGTTCAAATAGAGCGACTACAAAAGGTGTGCATCCATCACTAATCTAATCCAATCCTAATTTGCTGAAATGCAGGTGATTCGCTGGTCCAGAATTAGAAAACATACTAGCCCTCCCCCAGCCTGGAGTCAGGTAAAGTATCCAAATCTAAGAACTTGTATACAGTAGAACATCAAAATTACAAACTGTCGGTCAGCCACACACCCCCGGTCAACCATAAACCTCATTTGAAACTGGAAGTATACAATCTGGCAGCAGTGCGTGCATGTGCGCGCCCGCGCGTACACACACACAAAGTACAGCACTGTGTTAAATGTAAACTACTAAAAAATAAAGGGACAGTTTAAAAAAAAGATTTGACATGGTTAGAAACTATTTCTGTGCTTGTTTCATTTAAATTGAGCAGCATATTTTTTCTGCGTAGTAAAGTTGCAAAGCTGTATTAAGTCAATGTTCAGTTGGAAACTTTTGAAAGAACCATCATAACGTTATGTTCAGGGTTATGAACATTTCAGAGTTATGAACAACCTCCATTCCTGAGGTGTTTGTAATTGTGAGATTCTACTGTATGTCCATTTAAATCCAATCATTTACAGCAGGCTTATCAGTTTCCTGCTAAAATCATCATTGTTATAGGCATAAATATAACATTAACATTTTGGGAAATTATTTTATAAATCTCATTTAATGATAATCATGAAATCAAAGCTGAACTAATTTTCACCTGAATTGCAATTAACACCCCAGAAAAGCCTTCCAATCTTCTACTTTTGAGCAAAATGAATTCCTTTTTTTTACTAGGAGTGTCCAACACCCAGCACAATGGGGCCATGATGCAAGTCTGTAGGTGCTATCAGAATGCAAATAAATAATGATGATAATGAGTAAAAGTAACTATCAATCTCTACATCTAACCTGAAACCCATTGCATTTAACTTTCTCAATTATGGATATCTGCCCAAAACCTACCTGTGACTGCTGCTTCTTAATCACTCACACACTTGTGAGTGGAGGAATCAGATCTATTGGAACAGCCTCTGTAAATATATTACAGAAAAGAAATCAACTTAGTGCACAAAATTGTATAAACAACTATGGGAACTGTACATCATCCAGCCAAAACCAATCACCATGGTAAGCTCATGATGGGTATGTGCGTGAGACCTTCACACAGAGCAGGAAGTGCATACAAACACATTAACCAGTGTGCCAGTTCAACTCTCCAGTAAAGCCTTAGATGCTAAGGTAGCAATTCAAAGCAAACGAGTTCCCCATTAGCTATCTCTTAACGACAGCAAGGAAGTAACTTCTAGGTTTTTAAAATTAACTCGCTGAAGAAAACTGTGCCCCCCTGCCAATGCTAAGGACACTTAGCCAACTAGCATGGGTATAAATAGCAGTGCAGATGATGAAACGACTAAGAGTAGAGTGGAATGCCCAGGCCTGAACCCCCAGGCTATATACCTATGCGGCTCTCTACACGCCCAGTCAGTGCTTCCCACATTCACGCTACTGTTTTTAGCCGTGTAGTGTCCTACTGCCTCCCCTCTGCCAAATCCTGTCAGTGCAGCGTGTAGCTACACACTAGGTGACAAGTATGGGTGAAGCCTGCCTTTCAATGCAGTGTGTAGCTACCCCTGCAGTGCCCATAATCTACGTGCTGCCATAAATGTAGACATAGGCTAAAAGTAGTGCATAAAATCTTGGATGGGGGTCATGATGGGGATACCTTAGGGAGCAGAGAGGCCACAACCTGAGTGCTGGTGATTGACCCTGCCAGCAGGTAGGGGATCTTGGGGGACAACTACTGCACTGGTGGGGTTCTTAATAAACTTTATTAAGAAAATGTAAAAACAGGGAAAATTTAATAGTGAGGGGTATGGGGTTTGTTAAGGTAGACAATTGGGGAGGGGTTTCTTTTAGTAAATAGGATAGGGGGTTTCATTAGTGGGGTACAATACAGTGGGGTACAATACAGTTGGTAACGAATTAACACTGAATTATAAATGTAACAGGTAGCTAACAGTTCCTATGTAAAGGGTGTGTCATAGCAGCATATAACCAACTAACAGTTATGGGTAAAATGTGTTAAATAACCAACAACTTTAGGTAAAAATGTGTTACAGTGGTGTAAATGTAAAATGTGAGGGGTGTTAGAGAGAAAAAGGGTAACCAATGGGGTTTTATGCTAGACTTCAGTAATACAATTGAGGTTTGGCAGCAGCAGGAGCGGGGTGAGCACGTGGGGGAAGGGATTAAAAGAGAGAGAGAGAGAAAGGCAGTGGTAGAGGAGTGAGGTTGGGGGATGGGGGAAGAGGAGCAAGTGGTGGAGCAGAGAGGGAGGAGGGAGATTTAAACTTAGGGAGACACAGAGAGCAGACAGGCTGCAAGTTTAAACAGCAGAGAGACAATTATACAGAACACAGCAAAAGCTTATCTATGATTTAACTTAACCAAAACTACACAAATTAGCAAGTACAAATAACAAAACACAATGCAACAATTCTTTAAGCCTAACTTACAGAGTACAATGCAAGCAATTTTCTAAACCTAACTTAACCACAACTATGCAAAATTAAATTACAATTTATCTAGACTAAAGGCTAAATCTAACCTAATGCGTGCACCTTATACTAGGGGTAGTTCCAGAGGGCAGAGTGGTGTGTGCCCAGGATACAGCTTCAAGGGGGGGAGGGAGGGGTTTAACTAGTGGTGGCTGCAAGCAGGCTTATTTCTAGCAGCAAAGGCACTGCGGAGCTAGAAGCAGATTACAGATACAGACCAAGGAGTTAGCTTGGGTCTGCCTGAGAAAGCCAGCAGCCAGAACAAGGGGTGTGTGCAAGAGGTTTTTCCTTACCAATCCCCAAAGCAGCAGCAGGAACAGCAGTTTCAGCATCAGAGGACGCAGAGAGGACTCGATTCGCTTACAATAATCAAGATATCTCCATGCACAAATTCGTTGTTCGTGGGAGGGGAGTTTAAAAACGGGGGTACGCTCAAAAACAAACGAGAGTGGGGAGAGGGCCCCCCAAAGACCCCTAGCTGATCAGACCAGGTGGCAAAGCAAGGACCTTCTCCGGGGGTCTGATCAGAAAATGTCTGGTTTTAAAGGCAAACTCAGGCAGTTTCCCGCCAGTAACTTTGATTGGTTCCCCTTAATCCAGGGGAGGAGAGAAGGCAGGGAAACGGCAGGTAGGCACAGGACATGTCTGGGCAAGTTCTGAGTCACAGGTATGACTCATATGCTCAGCTATGTGGCCACTTTAGGTCTCGCATACCTGGGCAGAGCCCCCTACACCGAGCCGGGTCCGAACAAAGAAGCTAGACAAAGGAGCGAAAAAGCCCCCACCTCCCTGAGCAGAGCAATGGCTCCTGTCAGTCTGCACAAGCCATTTCCATGAGCAGAGCCAGGCTGTGACTTTGGTCAGTTCCATGGCTGGGGGGGGGGCACTCAAAAAAGGAATCCAGCAGGGGGACAGCTGTAACAGACAGTGATCACCTGGGGGTTGCTGAGAGAAGTTTTGAAACTAACTTTCACTGGTCGAGGGGGTGGGGTGGGGGGGATGAGCTGTCCCGTGGCAGCCCCGCCCCCTCCAGATTGAGGGAACAGAGAGGTGGCATAAATTCACCTTTTCCCCCTATACACTGAGAACTTCTGATGCATGACCCAAAGGTTTGAAATCTCTGCGTGCGTGTGAACGTGAATGCAAAATGGGTGTAAATGGCAAGCAGGATAACTGGCAAAATGAATGGAGCTAACATAGCCAGGGCTGGCGCTAAGCATAAGCAGACTAAGCAATTGCTCAGGGCCCCAAGCATCTTAAGGGGGCCCCTATTAATTATTATGTACTGTGGGGGGGGGGATCAAAAATATTCCAGCTTGGGGCCCTCAGTGGGCTAGCACCGACACTGCACACAATCAGGGGAGAAAAGGGTAGTCACAGGAAAAGCAAACACACAGACGTTTGTAAAATAAACTAGACTCACCCTCCCTATATATGTCTGCATGAAAACCAAGTGGGCAACTAGCAGCTCAGCCCTGGCACCTCTCACTGACTTCAGTAGAAGCCCACACTATATCTGAATTTGGTGCTCACAGGCTTGCAAATCAGTATAAATTACTGAGACAAGGTGGGTGAATAGTATAAATTACATTCATTTTACACACCAACCTAATATCAATTTGGTGCAAATTAATGGCTACTTACACACAATTTATTTTCAATATGTAATTTACACACTAGTACAGTTACAATTTAATTTGACTCTATGGGCCAAATTGTGGCTACTATGTGCTGAAAGGCTGGTGCAAAACAGCCACAAAGCTGTTTAGTACAAAGGTGCCCCCAATCAGCCCCAAAGCAATGGGCCTGGCCAGAGAAAAGAACCATGTACAGAATGGCCTTGTGCTCTGGATGTCCCTGATTTCCACGACAGCCCCCAGAGACCCTGAGTCCACTCTAAGTGTTCCTCAGGACCAAACCAACTTACAACCATTTTTGTATGCCCCAAGCCAGTCACCAAACATCTGATCCTGAGGATCTAACCCATATTCTTCCAAAAGTGTCTGAGAGGCCCCAGGTTTCCATTACACCCACATGCAAACAATTCCAAATAATGCACAATGGATTTGCAGGTAACTCATCACAAGCCACTCGGAGAAAAGTGTTAAATCTAAAAAAAAAGCAACCCATGACCCAAGTGATCTTCACCAATACCTCTATTGCAAATGAATGTCAATGGAGAAAAGCCCAGTGACGTGTGGAAAGCAGTGAAAAAGCACACTGAGGGCTTGGCTGCATGGTGCTGGCAAAGGGCACTAAACGGGTGTGATTTGTAAAGCTCTCTAATGTGCTGTGCTCTAACTGCCCTATGTGGACCCTATTGGCATGCTCTAAAAGGTACCTAGCTTGCATTAACATAGTCCTATTTGAAAACAGGACTGTGTTAGCACAAAGTAGGTACCTTTTAGTTCACACCAGCAGAGTCTACATGGGGCAGTTAGAGTGCAGCATGTTAGAGTGCTTTACAAATCATACCCCTCTGGCATGCTTTACCGTGCCATGTAGACAAGCTCTTATAATATCACTTTTTGCCACCACAAGCCATAATTAAACTAAATGCATGGTTGAATTAAATATATTGTACTGAATTATGCTCCAGGTCAATGAAATTATTAACTGATTGATCTTCAGAGTAGGACAGGTGATGAATCAACCTAAATGTATTCAGTGCTTTCTTTCTCCTTAGTCTGTTTTGTACTATACGAAAAGGAGAAATGGATAAATGAAGCATTGACTAAGTCACTGACCTACAACCCTAAAAAAGTGCCCTTCCTGTGACGTCTTAATAGTATACACTTGAGTAGGGTTACCGTATTTCAGCAAGCAAAAAAGAGGACGGGAGGAGCCCCGCCCTAGCCCCACCCCTGCCCCTCCCACTTCCCGCCCCCCTCAGAACCCCCAACCCTCCCCCCTGCTCCTTGTCCCCTGACTGCCCCCTCCTGGGACCCCTGCCCCTAACTGCCCCCCAGGACTCCACCCCCTATTTATGTACAGGCGTGACTACCTGCCCTTTCCTGGTTACTATACGCGGCCAGTCCGCATCCACATCCAGTAGTTAAAAAAAAAAATAGACTAATAATTTAAATTGGAATTTCATCCATTAATAAGTATTTATTATATAGTTAAAACCATTCTATTGAAGGACAGATATTAAATAACACTAAATATGTTAATGTTCAAAACAATATTAAAAATTTGAAAATTTAGAGCCTCCCTGTTCCTTGTCCCCTAACTGCCCCCTCCTAAGACCCCCCCACCCTAACTGCCTCCCAGGACCCTACCCCCTACCTGTACCCTGACTGCCCAAAACCTTATCCACCCCTCCCAAAAAGCCCCCACGAACTCCCAACTCCCCCATCTCTTGACTGCTCCCTCCAAAAGCTCCCTGCCCCTTCTCCGACCCCCTGGCCCCCTTGTTGTTGGCCTTCGCCTAATGTCTCTGTGAGCTTGCTCAGGAATGGCCTGAGCCGTTC